ATTTGAATATTTAGCCCTTTACATTTATTGTGATTACTAATGTGATTGATTTTAAGTCTACATCTAACTATGTGTTTTCTATTTTTTAAAAAATTTTTATCTCTGTTATCTGGCCATCAGATCAGGTCTACACAAGTCCCTCTGCACTCTCCTTGTCTTTCTTGGAGCCTCAGACCCTCACAGGCCACTGCTATGGTTTGGATAAATGTCCCCAAAAGTCCGTATATAAAGGCCTGGCTCCCAGGGAGGCACTGTGACCCTTTAAGAGGTGGAGGATGGTGGGAGGTCTTAGGTCCTTAACGATCTGCCTTTAACGGAGGTTGTGGGGACCTGGTCTCTTGGTCTGTCTCCTCTTGATTCACTAGCTTTGATACACTGGCTTTGACAGACACATATTCCTTCACACCCAGCAAAGGCTCGCACCAGTAGACTTTGATCAGGAAGTATAGGAAGCAGAGCGGATCCAGCTTTGCTGTTTTTATTCTCCCTCTTTTTAATTTAAAACATTAAGCAAGACATTTTGGAGAGTACAGAGAGGTGCAGGGGCAAGCAGGATGCTGTAGGCTTGTTTTTTAATCTTGTAGAGAGAAGCTATTCTGAAGGGTTGGAGGGGAGGCAGGTGAGGTGATGGATGCTTGGCTAGCCCTGGTCTGGACTGCTTAGGGCATCCTAAATCAGGGAGACATCCCACCATGGAAAGCAGACTTTACTGTCCAATTAAATCCCTTGGAGAATTTGTTGAAAATGGAATCTGGGATTCCAGATTCCAATCCTTTAGATTCCAGTTCCAAAAATACAAGTGTGGCCACTGCAGCTCTCAATAATGTCTTCTGTTGAATGAATTCTAGCACAGGCAATCGAAGGATCACACTTAGACCTACAGATCACATGTGGGGTGAAAGGACATCTTCCTGTGTTTCCAGGAGCATCCTGTACATGGGAAGGGAGAAGGGAACTTTCCATCCCTCTTGTCCCATGTATCCTGGGGCCTCCTCCTCCCAGGACCACCATTTGTCCTGAAAGTGTTTATATTCTAGTTCAGCTCTGGGTTAAATGGGCTTGGGAAGGTACTCTGGGAGCTTAAACATGATTTATAACATTATTTCTATTGGTAAACTGTAATTGAGGTTCAACGACCAATTCAGGAAATGAATTTTTCAAATAAAATCCTTTGGTGAATTGGGAACTGTAGAGTAGAAAAGAGAAAGGCAATAGACAAAACGTAAAAAGTACAAGACTCTATATTAAGTGACTCCATAGTACGAAATATCCAGAAAGGGCAAATCTAAAAATGGAAAGCTGATCAGTGGTGGCCTCAGGTTGGGTGTGGGAAGAGGGATGAGCTCCAGACAGGCAGGAGGGATTTGAGGTGGTGGAAATGTTCTAAAACTGGATTGAGGCGATTGTTGTACAACTGTATTAATTACAAAACTAAGTGACTCTTACACCTAAAATGGATTTTATGATATAAGAACCACACTTCATTAAAACTATTTTTTAAAAAATTTATTTTCAGTGCTAGGGATTGAACTCAGGACCTTGAGCTTGCAAGGCAAGCACTGGAACCACTGAGCTAAATCCCCAGCCCTTTAAAACCATTTTCTTTCTTTCTTTTTTTTTTTTGTACCGGGGAGTGAACTTGGGACCTTGTACTTGCAAGGCAGGCAGCGGAACCACTGAGCTAAATCCCCAGCTGGAACAGTGACAGTTAGCACTTTTTTTTGGTACCAGGGATTGAACTTGGGTCCTTGTGCTTGTGAGGCAGGCAGCAGAACCACTGAGCTAAATCCCCGGCCCTAAAACCATTTTTAAAAGTGACTAGAACAAATCTCAAGATTACTCAGTAATAATTCCTTACATTTGAGAAGCACACTTTTTTTCTTTATTGGGGGTCGAACCCAGGGCCTTCATACTGAACCACATCCCCAGCCCGTTTTTATTTTGAGATAGGGTCTCACTAAGTTGCCCAAGTTGGCTTCAGACATATGATCCTCCTGTCTCAGCCTCCCAGAGTGCTGGAATTACAGGTGTGGGCCACCATGCCCAGCTTGTGAAGCATTTTATTTTTATTTTTTATTTTTTTTGGTACCGGAGATCGAACTCGGGACCTTGCACTTGTGCAGCAGGCACTGGAACCACTGAGTTAAATCCCTGGCCCCATGAAGCATTTTATAGCATAAGACATTTTCATCCTCATTACCCTATGTAAGTAAGCTTTGGAATGTCGTCATGAGAAGATAATGTATTCTTTGCCCTTCATACTCATGGTTTCCATATTTGTAGGTTCAACAAACTGCAGACTGAAGATACTTGAAAAAAATGCATGTGTTCAGATTGTTTTGTCTTGCCATTATTTCCTAAAGAATGCACTATAACAACTATGTAACATTTATATTGTAATAAGTATTGTAAGTGTAAGCTATATTTAAATACTACACCCATAGGTACCAAGAGGTGATGGTAATCATTCCCATTTTATAGTGGACAAAACTGAGGCTCAGAGTTAAGTAACTTAAATGGAAGGTTTGCAGTCCTTACCTGCATGATTTCTTCATCTACTAAGCCTGAGGTCTGTGAAAGCCTTTCTCCAGCTTCAGTGTACTCAGGCAGCACCTGTTTTTCCCTGTGCTCTTTTGTCTTGTCTTCGAGCTGACCTCCCCGTTGTGCTGGCTGGGGGCTGGGTATGATGGGTGAGGAGGCTTCCTGCTGCAGCTGCTTTGGCCCTGGACCCTCTTACTTGAGGGAGAGAGTTCATTCGTAATTGGAAAAATGCCTGGAGTAAGTTTGGAGGAGTCGGTTGAGGCCAGGTGAAGGACTCGGAACCACTTCCTGCAGGCCAGTTCTTTCCATTCCTGCCTGGGCTTCCAAACCATGTGTGTCCAGGACTTCAAAGCACACAAGCTGGGGTCCAAAGCCAGTTCCATGGCACTGAATTCTGTGGACAAATAGAGCATGAGGTGTGAGGCTCCGCATTTTGAGAGGTCATTCTGATGACTTCTAGGGTTAAAATTCCTTCTGTAGGCAGTGAATGAGAAGCCGTTAAATGCAAGGAGCAACAGCACTGTTTTAGGAAGAATAACTGCGCAATTATGGGTGGGAGAGGGAAGAGGAAAGAAATCAAATATGTGGACATGGCCCACAGATAAGCTGTACTAAGGCCTGAATCTGGCTGGTGCTGGGGACAGAATGAGAGGGTGGAGGTAGAGACAGCTCAAAGGGTCTGGCAGCATTTGGAGAAAAGAGCAGAAGTTAATGGTTTCCAGCTAAGCCCACTGAATCAAATACTTTACTCTTTCCCTAGTCTTCAGTTCTTCATTGGTGAGGTAAAACCTAGAGCAGGGATTCCATGTTTCCTTTGTTAACACTAAGTTTCAAAGACAGGCAGAGTCTGAGCTTTTAAAACTGGGGTACAGGGATTTTCTAGAGGTACACAGCAGTCTGCCAGCAGGTGTGCAAAGCCACAGGAAAATGGCATGCCTCTCTCTACAGCAGGGTTCAGCAAACTTTCTGTCAAGGGCCAGACAGCAAACACCTTAGGTTTTTCAGACTAGATGGCTTCTTTTGCACAGATTCAGGTTTGTCATTGCTGTGACAGCAGGCATGACAATATCAAAGTAAACAAGCATGGATGCATTCCAATAAAACTTTATTTACCAAATCAGGTTCCAAACTGGATTTAGTCTGCTGGCTGTAGCTTGCTGACTCCCCTATTACAGCACCAACTTTACTAGAAGATTTGTGGAAAGCGTTATTTTTATAACCCAGGTGTTTACAAGGTCTCCACTTTTAAGGACCACTTTTCCTTAACATCCAAACAGTACTGTTCTATAAGTACAGGTTTGCAATGGACAAAAAGCAAGGGGACAAGTGGAGGCTGACATCAGCCTCGTAGCAGGTGTAGTCCTGGACAAAGGTGGGGTGCCTTTTGTGATTCATTGCTCAGAGGGATCCCTTTTTTGGTAGTTTGCATAAAGGTACCATACATACTGATGTCTTGACACACGTTAGTCAACTTTCCATTACTATAACAATATACAGTACCTGGGATACTCAGCTTATAAGGAGGAAAGGTTTATTTTGGCTCATGATTTTAGAGGGTTCAGTGTGATTCCTTGGCACTGTTGCTTTGGAGCCTGGGGTGAGAGAAGAAATGGCTGGGGTCTCAATATTGCCCCAAGGCCCTGCTCCCAATGACCTCACTTCTGATCACTAGGCCCTACTTCCTAAAGGCCTACCACCTTCCAATAGCAGCATGGGCTGATGACCAAGCCTACAACCCATGGGACTCTGGGGGACATTCCAGATCCAAAGTATAGCAATATACTCCACGCTCCCATCCTACCTGGCTCCAGTAATTCTGTCTCCCTCTCCAGGACTTCTGTTTTTCAGGAGATGTGTAGCTTGTTTTCCAGGTGATGGCCAGCTCCTCTCCACTAGTCCCACCGTGGAACTCCTTCTCCAGGTTGCTCCTCCCAGTCCCCTTTCCCACAAAGGTAGACTGGGTCTTCTGATTCCAGGCACTTCTTAGGACCAGCAGGGGTATTAGACCCAGCCGAGGCTTCAGGTAAACACAAGAGAGCTCCAGCTGAAAAACAGAAACCTTTATATCAGACTTCAGCCACCTCTGTCCCCATGTGTCCTGACCAAACCCAGCCTTTCAGAGAGTGGATGAGTCACAATATCTGGTCAGAAGCACCTAAATTCGGATCACTTCCCTGCTTCAGACTTTCCTTTATCTAATATGCCTCATATCTAATGACCTGAATGACTTCCCAGCCTTAGAATCTTCCTAAACAAGCAAGAATTGTATCGGAAGTGAATGCACAGTTGCATACATTTTGGAAATGACACAAAACTTGGAAGAAATTTTGCACATTCTCAGGGAAGCTTTGGGCCAGTGGCCCGGGGCTCCTGGTATGGGGTCCCTGGGCTGTGTCATTAGGGGCACTTCAGTAGCAAATGCTGAGAAGCGGTGAATTAATGACTTCCCTCATGTTTAGCATGGATGCACAGACTTCTCAGAGAGCACGTATCTAGCATCAAACATAATTGCCTACGGCCAGTTTGAATGAGTTCCCACTCTTGTTTTGAAACTCCATCCTCATTTTCCCACCGACAGGTTTGGCTCACTACTTTGAGGCTGTTCAGGTTGAGGGTGCTTGGTTTAAAAAACTCTAGCTCCCTGCCATGTCTGTACATTGGTTCTCCTGAAAATGTAAAGGCTTCCTTTTTCTCGGAAATTCTGGTCCTTATAAATCCAAGATCTGATTTGCTCATCCTGGTCTTGGACATTCCAGACCCAGTACTTCGCCAGAACGTGGCAGGCTCTGCCTTTCCCAAAGAGGGAGGCTTCCTTGTCAGAGGAGGGACTGACAACAGAGACATCTGACCTCAATGTCATTTGTGCCTCACCCCAACCCCTGAACTCAGACAGCCTCTCTTGTTCCTGATTTGTCTGATTGTAAAATTGCTTGGAGATATTCTAAAGGAATGTTGCCTTGGTAAAAAGCGAGGCATTTTAGTCTTAGGGAAATTTTTTTCTTAAAACATAGACCAGACAAGGTTTTGGTATCAGAGGAAGAATTTCTAAGTGGAGAAGGCATGGAGACCCTCTTGAATTCCATCTTGAGGTTCTTCAATGAGTCCAGGACGTGCTTACTGGTAGCACAAATTGTTGGGGCCCAGGATAGCCAAATCACCTGCCCGTGGCTTCCCAACTGATATGGACAGACGTGGGAAGGTGGCACTAAGTAAAAGGTGGCATCACCTGTAGGTCAGGGCAGTCATCCTGTACCCTCTGCTTTACAGGACCCCCCTGGCCAGGCCTCCTCTGACCCAGCTCCTCCCCATGGAATGAGAACAAGGAGCCAAGGGGACCCAAGGACAGATCAGGCCCTGGGTACCTGGAATTCTTGGCTAACATGACCCCAAGCCCTCTCGCAGTGGGCTTGATGAACTCTTCCCCAAATTCATCCTCTCAAAATTATACACTGGGGTTCCCAAGAGGTGGTGGGAGCACAGGATGAAGCTTGGTGGTGGGGGGAGTTGTTTGCACACACGATTGCAGGGCCCTCTGCAGGAAGGAACAGAACCAGGGCTGCCCAGAGAAACAGCATGGGCTGTGGCCCAGGGGTTCCCATTTGAACCCTCAGCTCATTCTGAGGATTGGGGGTGGGGCTGCAGAAGGAAAAGCCAGTGAGAAATAGCCAGAGAAAATACAGGACTCACAAAATCAACAGATCTGCCAGAATTCCTATTTTGGTGGGGAAAAGAAGTGTCCTCAAAATTATTGCGCTGAGCCAGGCACAGTGGCACATGCCTGTAATCCCAGCACTCTGGGAGGCTAAGGCAGAAAAATCACAAGTTCAAGCCCAACCTGAGCAACTTAGCGACTTAGCAAGACTCTGTTTCAAAATAAAAACTAAAAAAGGGCTGGGATGGCCCTGAGTTCAATCTCTAGTACTAAAAAAAAGAAAAATTGCATTAATAAACCTGTGTGTAAACCTTTTCATTTTAAAATTCAGATAAAAATCTTGATTACTGTAATAATCAAACATTGGTTTTCCTCTATGATATTGTGAGGCTGGCATGAAAATGTGCACAATATATAGTGTATTAACACTTAATACATGTTAATAAAATTGTTCTTTTCCTTTTCCTTCAGCTGGCCTCTAAGATAATATTCAATGCTTGCTTCTTCTTTCATTTGTCCTGCACTGTCTAGTGTGATAAAATAAAAAATAGAAACTAAGATGTTTTTAATGTCAAGTTTAGACAAGATAATTTCTCTCTCATAATACGAGAGCAAACTAGTGCAGGATCAAAAGCAATTGTTTTTTACTTTTTGGAGCTGCCAAAATTCCCTTTTAAGGATATGCACCAGGTAAATGGGAGAACGAGCTGAGGATCTGAATGACATCATTGTTGTAGCCCTTGCCAGACCCCAGCTGGGGCATCTCTCCAGTCTGATGAGGAGGTGCTTTAATCCTGTCTTGTCTGAAAAGCAAGGAAGGGCTGAAACACCATGCTGATGAGTCCAGCCGTCTCCTACATATCAAACACTATCTTCGGACAGCCCTTCTACGCCAAAGGAGTTGTGAGGGATGTGGCTCTGATAGAAGTCAGTCATCACTCCTTACACTCACAGGGCTGCCACAGACATGATTTCACACCATCCTGCTGTGGAGACAGAGAGCACCCAGAGACAGAGCCCTCTGTGTTTCCCCAACTGCCACTTGGAAAGAATGACATTGGCTTTGTGGGTTGGGCAGGGCACTGTGTTCTTGGGAAGTAGCTCATCAGTGGCTGCTGGGATGCAACCATACCACACTCTGCAAGACCTCTAACAAGGGCAGAAGCCACAGCAGGTGCCTCCAGGGAAGCCAAGTGGCCAACCCCATGTTCCACCCCTAAGCCCCTGGGTGTGGCCCTTCCCACCAGCCCTGCTAATGGGGAGGCTGCTGTGGGTGTGCACCACCACTGGGACCTGCCTGCCCTGGAGGAACCAGTGCTCAGCACATGGCTGGGCAACAGGAGACTTGTGGCTTGAGCCGCAGGTGTCTGAAAGGGATCTCTGGTCTGCCAGAGTGGTTGAACTGAGCAGCCTTACTTGGGTGCCTCTGAGAGCTTGAAGCTAGATGCTCAACATCCTCATCAAGGGAAAGTAGAAGTGCTGTTTGTTTGCTTTTGCCTCTTTCACCAGCACATGGGGCTCTGGTCAGAAGATACTGGAAGAAAAACATTCTCCAGAAGGTCTATTGGTGCTGTGGGGCAGGAGCCACCCCAGCAGCCAAAGTAAGGTGTTTTCTCAAAGGTCAACATACCCCTCTGCTCTAGGGTTCTGTATCAGGCTGTCCTCCTTTTGCCTGGTAGAGGAGGAAAGACACTGGATGCCTCCTTTCCAACCCTTACATTTCTTAACCCTCCTAGAAGACACAGCAAACACATCCCTGCAGTGCCGGGATGGACCCAAGAACAGTGTAGGACCTGGGTCCAAGGCCCTGAATCAATATTGGGCCATGGGCTGGGTCAGGATGACGGAATTAGTTGACAGAGCCATGTATGACAGCAAGTGTTGGATGGCATTTGAGAATGGGCCGGGGGTTCAGGAAGGTGGAACTAAAGACAGGAGGTATAGCAAGTGGGCAGGAGCCAGGTGGGGCAGGAGCCAGGTGGGGCAGGAGCTGAGTGGGCCAGCAGCCTTGGGAATCGACAGGCTCTAGGTGGGAAAGAAGTAAAGCAGCACTGGCTAGAGGTGATGGGACATTGGGAGCTGGCTCTTTTTGATTACTGATCTCATAGATTCATCAGCATTAAAAGGGACAGACAAGCTACTATATTGTGCATTCCTCTGAGGAATATTACACAAATTAAACTAAAAACCTCTAAAGAACTAAAAGCAAACCTTTTCACACATTGGCATCTATTTTCCTTTCTAGTCACACAACCTCCACTAACTTCTCTGTCTAACCTATGTCTCAGTCCAAAATAGTCTGTATTTTCATTAATATGCTGCACATAGGCTATTTTTATAACTGACTAGGCCACTTGCTACCCCAAAAAGGACAATTCACTGGCTCACGCCCAGTGGAAATCCTGCTCATCTGTTGTGAACAGCAAGTCATGGAAGAGGTGCAAGTCATGGAAGAGGTGCAAGTCATGGAAGAGGTGCAACCCAGAAGTCATGGAAAAATAGTCATCAAAGAAAAATGTGAATGAAAATAACAACAAGGTATCATGGCAAAGCTATGAAGTTACAGCAAGTTAAAAGGAAACCAAAAGCAAGCCACTTGAGACACATACTGTTTCGGTAAAACAGGCACATCTATCTACTGCTGGTGACAGTGTAAACGGGCTGGGGAGTTAATTTCATGTGTCAGCTTGACTGGGCCAGGGGATACCCAGATAGCTGGTAAGATATTATTTCTGGGTGTCTGTGAGGGTGTTCCTGGAAGAGATTAGCATGTGAATTCAAAGATCCACCTCACCATTGTAGGTGGGTCCTATCCAGTCTATGACAGTCCAAATAGAAAAGGCAGTGGAAGGGCGAATTGGATCTCTGCTTAGTTGGGACATCATCTCTCACCCTCAGACATCAGCACTCTTGGTTCCCTGGACGCTGGACATGGACTGGAACTACAGCACCAGCCTTCCTGGGCCTCCAGCTTGCAAATGGAAGATTGTGGTGCTTCTCAGGCTCCAGGACAGCCAATCTCTCATCATAAGCCTCTCCTATATATCGCTATGTATCCTGTTGGTTCTATGTGGAGAACGCTGCCTACTCCTTGGGCCCAACATTTTGGCGAAACAATAGAGTAATATATTTCAAAAGAGACAGAAATGTTCATGCCATTTGATCACCCATCAATCTTAGTTTGCAGAGCTGAGCTAAACAAAATGATACTAAAGAGGAAAAAAAGCTACATGCATAAAGATAATCTTTATATCACATTTTTTAACTGAGAAAAGACTAAAAATAACTTACCCACCTCACAACAGGGAACTCTAAGGGAAATTACCTCACCAACAGATGGAAATTACGATAATGAAAACTGCTTAGTGCAAGGATGTGCTTGTAACATAGTG